GCCAACCATCTCCAAACTCAGATGGTGCCCTAGCCGAGACTCGAACCCGCGACCCCTTGATCAAAAGTCAAACTCTTTAAGCCACTAAGCCACAGGCTCGTTGCTTTGCAGGTATAAATTGGAAATACTGACATTCAGTGATGTACGTTCACCGATGGCTAACAGAGCTCATCCGTCATGCTCTGCTAGGGGCTCACTTTCAAGCCCTGCCAGCAGCCGCAGAGTGGCTAGGGGTGCAGGCAGATGAACATTGTAGGCAAAGACAAGGGAGACGGGAATGGCCATTTCTGGCTCATTATCCGCCAATCATACCCAATCCCAGGTGGTGCACTACCCGAGGTTCGAATTCGCGGCCACCGAGGCCTGAGGTTTACTTGCTCACGGTATCATCCATGGCGATCGCGTAAAGCTGGACTACATCGTCAATTCTCTGATCTAGACTTGACACCAAGTGTAACCATATCGACTGGAGCGTTCTTAGTGGATTTAGCTTAAATGTTTTTTTATCAGGTATTTCATTTTATAACTTAGTTGACTCAATTGTGAAAAAACTCGCGGGGTCGGCAATGCAGATATACCACACCCTCTACCTCTAAACTATGGATGTACGCTCCACCCTCCTTTCCGACATGATCATTGTGTATACTCCTGATCAAAATCGACAAGGGAACAAGCCCGTGGCGCAGTGGTTATGGCGGTGGAATTCTAACCAGCCAGTCATATCAAACCCCAGGTGTTGCTGCTCCCGAGGCTCGAACCCACGACCTATTGGCCAGAATTTCAACACAAACCAGTGAGTCAACAGGTTGCGAATTCGAGCCTCGGGGACTGAAAAAACCTGGGGTTGGGAGTGGCTGGCTGATGTCGGCTAAAATACCAAAAGGGGTTGAATTCTGAACAATGCATGGTACAGTTTTTTTTCGGTAGGCAGTCAACTTCAGTCACCCTCGGTGGTTGCTGTATCCAAGTCAAACGAGTAGTAGACGAGCGAATCAGAAATGGTCATCGTTTACTCCCGCTGTGGGCATCTTCGGGTTAACAGATGGTTGCTGAATCCTGTGATTCAAAGCCAGTAAACAACGGGGGGTGTCGGGTAGAGAGTAACACTTTCATGAGTAGCCCCTTAGCTTTGGGTGCTTGATGATGATGATGAATAGGGATCAAAAGTGGAATTAAAATGAATTATGTTTTCGGCAGATTACGATAATTCATCGGCCTCGGTTGGATTCGACCACCCTATAGCAA